TGTAATAGTTTGAGATTAGAAAAAAGTAAAAATTTAGGTACAATAAGTTCATTACATGAACAAAGTACATCCTTTAAGTCACAAATCGTTGAATACCAAATTGGCGTTAAGAGAGACATTGAAGTTCTTAAAAGTGAGAATTTAAGTTTGCAAAAGGAATGTAATAGGTTGAGATTAGAAAAAAGTGAAAATTTAAGTACAATAAGTTCATTACATGAACAAATTACATCCCTTAAGTCACAAATAGTTGAATGCCAAATTGGTGTTAAAAAAGATATTGAAATTCTTAAAAGTGAGAATTCAAGTTTGCAAAAGGAAAAAAGTGAAAATTTAAGTATAATAAGTTCATTACGCGAACAAATTACATCCCTCAAGTCACAAATCGCTGAATACCAAATTGGCGCTAAAAGAGACATTGAAGTTCTTAAAAGTGAGAATTCAAGTTTGCAAAAGGAAAAACGTGAAAATTTAAATACAATAAATTCATTACGCGAGCAAATTACATCCCATAAGTCACAAATCGCTGAATACCAAATTGGCGTTAAAAGAGACATTGAAATTCTTAAAACTAAGAATTCAAGCTTGCAAAAGGAAAAACATGAATATTTAAATACAATAAGTTCATTACGCGAACAAATCACATCCCTTAAGTCACAAATCGCCGAATATCAGATTGGCATTAAAACAGACATTGAAATTCTTAAAAGTGAGAATTCAAGTTTGCAAAAGGAGTGTAATAGTTTGAGATTAGAAAAGAATGAAAATTTAAATACAATAAGTTCATTACATGGACAAATTACAGCTTTACTTGATGAGAACAATAAGCTAATTCAAGATTTTAGTAATAAAAACTATACTAGTGGACGTAAGTAATATTTAAAGTTTGAAAAAGTTTTGATTATTTTTATTTATTGTTATTATTTTTTAATTCTTATAGATAATGCTTGGCATGATGTTAATTGTGATTTATGTGGACTTCAAATAAGAGGATATCGTTACAAAGTAATCTCCATAAATTCTTTATGTGCGCAAGAAAAATTATTAATCTCTTATTAAAAATTATTCCTCGATGAATAGTGCGGTCATTGTGCCAACTTCGACTTATGTGAAGCGTGTATTGGTTCAACCCATAGGCCAGAACACATATTCCTCAAAATCAAATATCCTGTTTATATTGATCCACGAATTATATTACTTCCGGAAATCGTTTCTGTACCAATGGAGACAAGTAATAAAAATAATACTTTTTTTTTTTTTTTTAATTATTTTATACTGATTTGAGCTCTTTTTATAGATGTGCATGTTGAAGTCGTTTGCGATATTTGCGGAAAAACTCCCATTTGTGGTATTAGATATCAAGTAAGTTAGTTTATAGATGCTTCTAAACATTCTATTGATCATCGATTTCCCTCATATACCCAACTTTTTTCTTTTATAGTGTGGACATTGTTCAGACTTTGACATATGTGGGCAATGTGAACTAAATTATCGTGAGACAAACTACAACCATGATTCCTCACACGTGTT